GGCAGAATTGGGGGTTTTAGTGGGGTGGTAACTCCAATCACTATGCTTCCTTAGCATGCAGCTGTAAAAAACAAAAACCTTCCAAATCTGGGGGCTATGGACCCCCTTCATATCGCTGTTCTTCCCTAGCCACGACAGCGACAGGCCTACTGGTGAAGCGTATAAATGCGCCATACAGTGATGTCACAGCAAATTATATCTTAAAATGTCATTAGATAATACATAAATTTATTTGATTACTGAAATATACCAGTACTTCATATTAGTTATGGACGAAGTATGGTAAGAATGCATGAAATTACTCCAAAATGTATTTCAACCGATAGAGAGTAGCACGTTTATTACTTTCCTGAGCGCCATCTTATAAGTTGCATGGGTTGTTTACATTGACTTCGCCGATAAGCAAAGAGGGGAACTTAGTCTTGTGTGACAAATTTCGGCACCTTTATTTTATTATTGTAGTTATTATCTATTTCCGCACTTCAAATTTGACCTTCTCGATTACTTTGCATGTTCTTCCATTTCATGTTTGTTTTTAAAAAATTTCATATCCTCTAGATTAACCCAGAATACCCCACTTATATATATTGTGGCACACCATATAATTGCAATGATAAAACCTTTATTTTTGTGACAATGATTGTATGGACTTCTAATGCTTTAATAAATGTCTCAATCTTTCAATCTCAATAAAAATGTGCAGGGCGCTAATGAGCGCATAAAGCGCATATAAATAAAAGGCTCATTCCTTAAAACTTTCAATTATGATTGCTCTGCAACCCCTGATGTGATTTTGATAAGAGTTGACAATTTTTTTTTGGCATTTCAAGAGTTTTGTCCATTAAAACCTAAATTGAGGTGTTCTAGAAGACTTGAAAAATATGTCCAAGTGCCTAGTTGGACCCTCACTTGATTTACTTGGACTTGGACTGCATGGCATTTTTTGCAAAATATTTTCTTCATTGCTGTAGTTATTCTTTGCCTGCATTGATTATTTCATGAATCAGTGAGTGTAATTTTGTCCTTCACTTTCTGACTGTGTCATTACTTATTCTCTCTATTTTAGTGCTGCCATTATGTAAATATAGACTTGGCTGTTACCTACATGTTGTGAAACTTTCTTATTATAAGTGAGTGAATGAGTGATTGAGTGAGTGATTGAGCAGAAGTTTTGTCTTTCTGTCCAAAGTTTACTTTGTACCATTTGGCTGTGTGAAACTGAAACTGTGTATTAACATGAAATAGGTAAAATTGGATTTTGTATGCCATCATGATATAGATGATTTAAGCATTAGAGGTGACTCGTGTGAAGCCCTGAAAACAAGCAATGTATTGCTTGTTTTGTAATACAATGGCCTTATTATTTTCATTGCCTTCATTATGGTGGGGTAGCCTTGAAAATAAACAATATGAAACTGTATGTGTCCTCCAAGCTTTATTTTATTTTATTTTAACCTGATTTGTACTAATATCAGACCATAAGAATTTCTGAATCTCATTCATGAAATTCAAGTCATAGCCTTGAAATTTATGTATATACACTGTTTCTTATTAGAAGAAAGTCATTCCTTTTATATTAATAAAAACTTTTCAAATCATTACAGATGAAAACAAATTTGGCCAGAAGTTAATGGAAAAATTTGGATGGTCTAAAGGGAAAGGCCTTGGAAGAGAAGAACAGGGAATGACTGACTGTATCAAGGTTCTAACAAAGGACAACAAGAAAGGTATGGACTTGTTTTATAAACTCTAAATATGGCAGCACAAGCTATTCTTCATTTCAGTTATCATGTGAATTCTAAGGTATTTTCCTTCTGTGACATTGTTGCAAATTAGAAAGAAAGAAGCCTAGTTATAGAATATCATCATTTATTTAATATTTATGGATTGGATAACTTAATTTTCAGTTTGTGACAGCTGTCATAGAAGAAAAAAAACATAAAATAAAATTCACTCTTGTATCAACCTACTATCATATGTAGAGTATCCATAACAAATTACACCATTAAGTAATTAATCATTTTATGAATTTCAGCTTTTTGCAACCCTCTAACACTAGGCCTTTGACACACAACTTGGAAAATGCACACATACAGGATATTTCAATGCTTAATAATGTTAATAGATATTTCCTGGTGGTATTTTGTGTGTACCATGCTAAGTTATACTGTTACTTGATTCAAATATGCAAAGATTTTTTTCTTTTATTCTTTGAGCTTGAATAACTTGTATGCAAAGAATTTTCTTTTATTGCATGTGTTTTGTAGAGGCTCCAATTGGCATTGCTGAGTATAAAAGAAAAGAGTAAATGTAAACTAATGCTGTAAGATCTTATTAAAGAGAAGGGTATTTTAATAAAGAAGACTAAAGATAGGCGAAATCCTAAAGCTTGATATATTCACAACAAAAGAGAATAGCTTTGTCCTTTCATATATAATTTCGTTTAAGAATCTTAAAATAAAATTTCTCTGTTTCTTCTCCATCTAGGTATTGGATACAAGGGGTCCGACGACGAGTGGATCAAACACTACGAAGGATTTGAAAGCGTCTTGGCTAACCTCAACAGTGATAATTCCAAGGAGAACTCTTGTTCTAACAGTGCTGCTAACAGTGATGATGAGAAAAAGAATGCATCATCCTTAGAGAAGCGGTCGAAGGGCTCCCGAGCCAGAGTTCAGTAAGTATCTTTTTTATTTTAATAGAGTTTGTATTTGTATTCAAGGAGCTTGTTAAGATATCTGCTTGATTCCTTTTTATTCTTCGGTGAGTGTGTGTGTGTGTGTGTGTGCGTGTGCGTGTGCGTGGTGCGCTGGCGTGTACGTGTGCGTGTGCGTGTGCGTGTGCGTTGGGCGTGTGTGCGTGCCTGTGTACATTTGTGTGTGGTGTGAAAGTGAGAGTGAGTGAGTGAGTGTATTTTATTTATTTGTTTATGATGAGCAATTCATGAAATGTGTTACAGCCATCCATTTACAGTGTCAGCTTAATTATCTCACTTTTTTCAGCTACCACAAATTCACTCGTGGCAAAGATGTGAGCCGTTATAATTCGGATGACATTGCATGCATCATTGGGTCAAAAAGATCCAAGCAACTTGCTGATATTGAGGCAACTCAGATCAAGGAAGAGGATGAGGTTGGTCAGCAAGTGAAGCTGAATGGCGTTACCACTGTTAAAGGTGGTACGGTTCAGGTGAGTTAGAACAGATGCTTTTTTCTTTCTTTTTCTTTTTCTTTCTTTCTTTCTTTCTTTCTTTCTTTCTTTCTTTCTTTCTTTCTTTCTTTCTTTCTTTCTTTCTTTTCTTTCTTTTCTTTTCTTTTCTTTTTTTTTTTTCCCTCTCTCCCTCCTTATTTTCATTATATTGGAATTTTTATTTTCCATCTCTTCATTTCCTCATACAGTATGTAAGTGTTTTGTTGAGCAGCAGTAAGCTATAACACTGATATATATATACTCAGAGACTTTTGTACATTTCCCAATAAACTCAATATATTAGTTCTCATTTCTTTGCCTTGAATATGTAATTAGTTTTACAGAATATTTACATGCTGGTGAATCTTTTCTGCCAGACAGCTTTAATTTTGCTCTTTTATTATATATATATAATTTTGCAAAACTACAACCTCTACACATTCAGTTCTGCAAAACCTTTCCACAGACATTGGATTCTTTAGACATATATTAACACATTTAGTTTTGCAAAATCATTGTCTGCACACATTTTTTCACACACCCAGACACTTTGCCTGTTCTCTTTAAAAACACATTTTTATTTGAAGTTAATATTTAATTGTGTGCCCTTTATTTCTAAATATCCATGTCTTGTGCATTCTGTCTGAGTTGCCCCATTTTGATAGAAGTTATATTTAATTGTGTTGCCCTTGCGTATTTCTAAGTATCCATGTCTTGTTGCATTCTGAGACTTAAACCTCTGAGTTGGCCAAAATACAAGTTTACTACACTTGAGTGCTCATTTTTGATGGCATGCAGTACTTATACTGCCTGATTTATACTGGTGGCAAATCGCCAAGTGCAAAAATTAACCATGTTCACTAGTTTCTGTATCTTTAATATGCTTATCACAAAATCCATTTGTTTTTTTGATTTTTTTTTTTTTTTTTTTTTTTTTTTTTTACTTTTTTTTTCAGACACATCTTTTTTTATTATGAGATATTTACTTTTATGTTGCATTGTCTTCGTAATTTGTTTGACATAATGAAACTTTCATGGGTCTTTTCATAAGGGTAACTTAATTTTTAATTCTTATTGATTTTTCTGAAAACATTGTTAAAACGCATTGGTATTTTGATTAAAGTATTGTTTACGTTTTGTGAATTTTTTGCCTTTGATCACGTTCCATTTCTGCATTTTCTTCTTGATTTATGTTTTATTTTGCAAGAGTCTATGCTTTTGAGATTCTTTGCTCTTATGTCCAAGTTTACATTGGCAAGTATATTCAACAGAGATGACTTTGAGACGAATGGCAGTTTTGGTTTTGGCTATGGGAATGCCAGAGGCAAGCAAGGTGTCTGAGAGAGAGAGAGAAGGGTTTGCAAGAGTATCCAGAGAGAGAACGGAGACGATTACACTGGGGATCAGGCAGAAAGGAAAAAGAAAAGAAGAAGAAGAAGGACAAGGTCAAGCAGAAGGAAGTAGGAGAAGAAGAAAGTGTGTCTGACACTGAGGCTTCAGTCTCAAAAACTGAGAAGAGGAAGAGAGAAATAGATGAAGACTTAGACGCTGAAACACAAGGTAAAGTTGATGAGATTGTCAAGAAGAAGAAAAAGAAGAAGAAAAATAAGGAAAGGGAAAATGATGCTGAAGATGTGGATGCTGAGAATTTAACCATTGAGAACTGTCAGGAGGCAGAGGCTGAGAAACTTCATGTTGACATGGATAACGAAAAGGAGAAAAAGACGAAAAACAAGAAAAAGAAGGTAGAATTGGATGTAGTGAAAGCAGAGGAATTGCCAACTGAAAACAGCAGCAAAGCAGAACCTGATAACATGCAAAGTGAAGATGGTGTGAATAGTGAAAAGAAGAAAAAGAAGAAGAAGAAGAAAAGTAAAGATAAGAATACAGAAGAGTTACCTATAGAAAATAGTTGTGAAGGAGAATCTGAAAATGTGGATGTTCAGAGGACAGATGAGGTAAGAGAGAATGGAGAGGAAGTAAATGGAGTGGATGCAGGAAATGAAATGGAAAAACCAAAGAAGAAAAAGAAGAGGAAGTTAGATGAAACTGATGGAAATAATGAGGAAAGTGGTGTTACTGAACCACAAACCAGTGAAAAGAAAAAGAAAAAGAAGAAGAAAAGCTTATGCCAAGAAGAAATTCAAGAAGAGAATTGTAATGAACCTTCAGATGAAATTCCCAAAGCCATGCCTCCAGACTGCACGGATGAGGGAGAGGCAAAAATTGCAGAAGAAACTTCGCAAATGGAAGAATCTACACCCAAAAGGAAGAAGGGAAAGAAGAAGAAACAAAAAGGAAGTGAAGACAAAGATGAGAATTCTCCCTCAGAAGAGGGTGATTTAAGCACAGCAACAGAAGGCAATAAAGAGGGAGCAGAGAGTGAGGAAACAAATAATTCTGAAGGTAAATCAGACGGAAAGAAAAGATGACTAGAGCTAGACTTCGTGGATCTTGCTGTCTCTGATGTTATTACAAAAGACCCAACATCATTTGCTAAAGAGATTGAAAGAAAAAAAGCAAATGTGCAGAAAATAATAGAGAAGATGAATTCCACAGAACGGAAATTCAAGCAGACTCAGATCCAAAAGGAAGAAGCATCAAGTGAAAGGGAGAGCAAGGTTTCAGGTAACAAGGAGTCGCAAAAGCAAATTGAAACTGGTCAGATGAAAGAGTTTGAACCCAGGTATAAGAAGCCAAAGAAACAAAAACCCATCCAAAAATGGAAGCAGAATGTCAGGAACAGTGGGCCAATAGATCATAATGCCAGGAGCAGTAGGCGAAGGAAACAGAATGCCAGGAACAGTGGGCCAAGTAATCAGAATGCTAGCAACAGTGGGCCAAGTAATCAAATGAGTTCCCAAAATCAGATGCAGAATACTGGGAACAGTGGGCCAAGCAATCAAATGAGTTGCCAAAATCCAATGCAGAATATTGGGAATAATGGGCCAAGTAATCAAATGAGTTGCCAAAATCAGATGCAGAATACTGGGAACAGTGGGCCAAGCAATCAAATGAGTTGCCAAAATCCAATGCAGAATATTGGGAATAATGGGCCAAGTAATCAAATGAGTTGCCAAAATCTGATGCAGAATACTGGGAACAATGGGCCAAGTAATCAAATGGGTTGCCCAAATCCAATGCAGAATACCATGAACACTGGGCCAAATAACCCTATGTGTGTGTGTGCCTCTCTCAGGAATCTGATGCCAAATATGATGAACATTGGGGCAAATAACCAAATGTTTTTCAGCAATCTGATGCAGAATATGTGGAACATAGGGTCAAATAATCAAATGTTTTTCAGAAATCTAATGCAGAATATCAGGAACTTAGGACCAAATAATCAGATGCTAGGGCCAAATAACCAGATGCTAGGGCCAAATAACCAGATGCTAGGGCCAAATAATCAAATGCTTTTCAGAAATCCAACACAGAATATCAGAAACAGTGCGCCAAATAATCAAATGTTTCCCAGAAATCCATCGCAGAGACCCTTCAGCAATGGGCCAAATAATCGGAAACCTTTCCCTAATGCAGGAAACAGTGAAGAGAAATGGAAACCAAAAGAAAAAAAGGCTATCAATGTAGAAGAAGTTAAAGAAGGTTTCAAAGGTTTCAAAGGTTCATCGGTGTTGAAGCATAAGGGGTATGAAATGTGAGGATTGGGAAAAGATGTGTAACATTGTGTATTTCCAGTGTTTGGTGTACATATGTCTGTCTGTGTCTGTTTCTTTAATGAGTAGCTCCAAGAAAAAAGGAAAGCTAAAGTTTATGTTTTGAAACAGTTGATGGAAAAGGATGAAGTGACAGTGATTTGTTTCTTGTCAGATAATATGTATAGTAACATAGTTACAATTGTATATCTTTAGGATTTGAGAATTCGTTTTAATTCTCCAGAAAAAGAAAAGTTCCAAAAGTGTTGAATAAGAAACACAGTCATTGAGAAAATTAATGCCAATTAATACGTGTAAATGAGAGTGAATAATTTAAGGCAAGTGGATGGCTAAGATTATTTCCCTGTTTTCTCTTTAATCTGTAAAAAGTTAATTAATACTAAGGAAAAAGATGTATGCAAAGTAGCACTTATTACCAAGACAAGATAGGGAATATAATTTTTTTTTTTTTTTACACCAGAGTTAGAATGTACTGCAGGTACAGAAAAATATATTTACACTTGAGGATTGTTAAAATGGAAACTATTGAATTCAGCAGGCCTGTGCTGATCCCCTAGAGTTTTTATGATTGTTAATCAATGGATTCCACATAATTTATGATGTTATCTCATATTGAAATAAAATGTGAAAATTGTCAATTTTTTTTATAACCCTTCTCCATCCTCCTCTCTCTCCCTCCCCCCTTTTCTCTCTGTCACTCCTCCCTGTCCCTCTCTATCCTCTTCATCCTATCTATCTGAACATTCTCTCTTGCTGTTCTATCTCCTTCTCTCTCCCTTTCCACTCCTCTCTCTCTCTTCTCCCCCTCCCCCCCCCCTCTCTCTCTCTCTCTCTCTCTCTCTCTCTCTCTCTCTCTCTCTCTCTCTCTCTCTCTCTCTCTCTCTCTCTCCCTCTCTCCCTCTCTCCCTCTCTCTTCCTCTCCTCTCCCTCTTCCCCTCTCTCCCTCTTCCCTCTCCCTCTTCCCTCTCCCTCTCCCTCTCTCCTCTCCCCTCTCTCCCTCTTCCCCTCTCTCCTCTTCCCTCTTCCCCTTCCCCTCTCTCCCTCTTCCCCTCTCTCCCTCTTCCCCTCTCTCCCTCTTCCCCTCTCTCCCTCTTCCCCTCTCTCCCTCTTCCCCTCTCTCCCTCTTGTAACATGCAATACTAATGATTAATAATAAATGATAATAAAAAATAATGAGTGATGCTTATACCATTAGCAATACAAATACAGCTTGTACCATATGTGATGGACAAAATATTGTTATAAATAAGGAAAGCTGACAAGGTGACATTATTTCTCTTGAGAGTAGTTTTTTTTACGATTAACAGTAGATTTTATCGTAATCTTTACCTCTCTTTTTCCCTTTCCGACACAATACTTTACCATAGTGTTATATGATCTTTGATGTCTAGCACTTTTATTTTCAAACACAACATTTAAACAAACGTTAACAGTAAATTTTGAAAGTCAAAACAATGAACTTCAAAGAAAGTCTGGGTAAATCAAAGTTTCCGAGTGACACGGTGTTTATTTTTTCTCATCCTATCAAAGAACTGCAAGATGTAATTATACATTTGCATAATGAAGTAGGGAATGAATGGGACTGAGCTCAAGTAAAATAGAAATTATCGGCAACGTTTTCACTAATGCGAATGATCTTGAAAATTTCAGTGGAAAGCAAACAGCGTGATGCAATAATAGTTCTTAATTTGATTCATCTATTAAGCTGTTTACGAAATTCATAGCACAATCTCATTCCACGTGATGCCAACAGAGCATTGGGAAATAGTAATGGGGCACTCAGTAATAAAAGATAATGATATAAGTCTTAAAGACGCAAACGCATGTATAGTCAAGACTTTTATAGGATCTTAAGTGTTTCTTTGCTATATGTAAATTGGTTTTTCTGGTTAGTAGAGGGTGAATAGTCATGATTACTGTAACCATAAGAAAGTACAGACTTCGTAACATCAACGGTAAATAATGGAAGCAGAACATTGAGACTAGACAATATAATAACAAAAAGATAGCGGAAGACTACTTGGTCGGATCAGGTAGAAAAATTCAAGTAAATTGTAATTGCCAAAATAAGCAAACAAGTAGGAAATGATTCTTTGAGAGTAAAATAAGTATACCATGGATAATAGAACAGCTATTAATGATAATATAGCTAATGTATATAATTAAAGTTATATATATATATATATATTAATATCAGGAATATATATAACTAATTTTGGACATTGTGTTTCAGCCTCCGTTTTATAATCTTACGCTGCATCTCCCTGCCAATCATACGCTATATTAAATTTTCGATGAGAAATATTATTTACGTATTGGTTATATAATGATACAAATAAACTTATATCAATTTAATCATTAAGTCACTTTACTTATACTTTATTCCACATTGCGTCCATGTCGTTGTAATATATTATATAAATATATATATTTTATATATATCACATAATATTCTATATATTTATTTTACTAGATCATAACCCTAACTCATACTATAATATATAATAATATCAATATAAATATTATTATTATTATATAACATATATCTGTGTGTGTGTATGTGCTGTGTGTTGTGTGTGTGTTATTGGTGTTCAGTAGATGTGTGTAGATGTTAGTTGTGGTGTGTGTGTAGTGTAGGTGTGTTAGTGTGATGTGTGATATAAATATGTGTTGGTGTGTGTGTATGTCACATAATATTATATAAATACTAATTACTAATATATAATATATATAATATATATATATACATATTATTATATATTAAAATATACTATATATAAATAGTTATAATAATATAATAATATATACCATATTATTATAGATATATCAACCCCACTACACAATACATCACACATAATACCTACATTAATATATATGTATATTATATATCAACTACTATACCTACTTTATCTAGTATTCTGAGTATATATACTACCACATCCACACACATTTATATTATATTTTATACACGAATATTATATAACAACACACACCACTACTCATCAATATATTACTATATAAACACACACACAAATAATATACATAATTTATGTATATTAAGAATTATGTGATTATACTTAATAATATATATAAAATAATAGTAATATATATATAATATAAATAAATTTATTTAGCTGTTATATACTCATATTACTCTTTACATCCAAACACACAACACACCCACCCACACACCAAACAACAAATATAAACATATACTATATGTAATATATATATATATTTTTACACACACACAACATACACTATACATTCATATAATTATAATATATATTAATTAATTAATATATATACTATTAACTAATAATTATATAATTAATATTACACATCACTACCACAACACACCTATAACACACACACACACATATACTATTATGTTAATTTTATTAGTATATTAGTTACTACATATCACACACACACAACACACTATATATAATATATATATATATATCAATAATAATATATACTATTATTATGATATTTATATATATTTAATTTATAAACAACGTGTGTTTACTGAGTATGTTGATTTATTTATTTATGATAAGATTTACAATATAAGTTATTATATACATATATTACTATTAATTAAATAAATATATATATTAATATATTATATGTTATACTAATATATATATATTAATATTATATATATATTTAATAATATTATTAATATAAAGTATACTACTTATTTGTGGGGGTTGTATTTTGTTGTGCTTTAGGTAGTGATGTGGGTGTTATATGTGTTGTTAGTATGTACTTAGTATGTGTGTGGTGTGTGATGTGTGTGATGTAGTGTGTGATGTGTGTGTGTGATGTGCTGTATGACTGTCTGCGTGTTATATATTAATATATATATATTTATATATATTATATTAATTAATTATATATTATATTATTATACATATATAAATTATGTGTTGGTGTGTTAGTTGATTGTGTGTGGTATTTTATTTAATATATAATATTATACATGCCGTGATATTATATTAATAATATATATATAATATATATAATATTATATTATAAAAAAAAATAATTTAATAATTAAATAATATTCTTAATTATATTTTAATAATTTATTTAAGATGTTGAGTGAAATAGTTAGTGTGCTCACTTTCCCAAAACAATAATCTCGTTTGCTCGTTATAGTATTTATTAAATATTGTATATATTTATATATATTGATTATATCATATATTATGTATATATTTACTATTATATTAATTCAACATATGTATAGACATATATAACATTTGAAGTATACTCTTTTGTGAATTATGTTGACTATGACAAAGCATGTATCTTCATTTCTAGTCACCTTAATACAAACATGCATCAATCATTTCTAATATTATACCGCTAATCGTTACATACATGATACTTAATCTTTCCAGTACACATCAAATAATCAATATATCTCGACATTCTCCCCATATACAATCGGTATACTTCAAAACCCCACCACACTGAATGTATCTCTAGGCTACGCCCGAAGACCCGACCACTAACGCTGACCATTCTCTAGCAGCACCACTCCCTAACTTTCCCACTCAGATCTGAAATGACCCTTCCACCCCTCCTCCTATGACCCACCCTACGTCTCATCAATCTCTTCGATTGTTTCTCTAAGGTAAGGTAGGGTATACTAAGTATATGTTATATTGCTTCGTCATATACTTTTTTACAATTTCTGTAATTTCAGTATTCATTTATTATATATTATTGTTATTTCTAATTAATTTACTTATTATTATCTATCTGTCTCTATACTTCTATTACTTACTTATTTTTAATTATGCTCAATTCTTATAATCTATCATTATTAATCTCTTATATACTCATATTCTATCTATGCTTTCTTCTATTCTTAATATTACTTCATCCTTTCATTATATATATATCTATTTCTTCTTAATTCTTGTCTATTTAGGTTCTTTAGTTATCTATGTATGTTAACTTCATTCATGTCATCTTTATTACCTAATCATTCTCATTGTTTTTTCTGTATGATATATGTAAAGTATCAAATTATTCCGTTTGGCGTTTGGTCCGCTCGAACCTCATATTGCATGACGTATAAGGTACCGTATTATAATGGAAATCTCAGCGCCAATGGTAGTTGGTAATATTCATTATATTTTTCTTCTCTCGTGAACTGTTTACCTTCTTTATGAAATTTGATATTTTATCGCGTTTAATAATGCTTGATATATGAAAAAGCTTAATGTAATATAATATGGCTTAATCAAGAATGACCTTATAACTGTGTCAATATAATGGTCCGTCAAAGTACTTCTGGAAATGCAATAGATAATTATATTATTCCTGAACCGTGAAGTGGATTCAACGATTTTGTATTATGCGCTCGTACCAACCGAAATGTGAATGTTTATCTCGCAATATTCATGCCGCGGATCATGTCATTTTATTCCTTTTTGGACACTTTTAAGCTAAGTTTCAAATGCCTGTCCCATGCCCATCATGTGTCGCGTGGTCTCATTCATGTCGTTGTAAAAATGCTTGGGTTTTTCGAAAGAGGCGAATCTACACATTCCAAGAGGCTAAACACCTGCATCTCTGCTGGAAACATAACTTTTCAGCAACCACAATGCATAA